GCAGCAGCAGCAGCAGCAGCAACTGGTTAATTTTGTTTTTATTGTTTCCCCTGAAAGCAAGAGGCCAAGAGCGGCTCCAAAAGTTTTCTCGATAAATTTAAATTGACCTGAAAACACAAACCCTAAACCCTAAACCCTAAACCCTAAACCCTAAACCCTAATTTAGGGTTTAGGTGTAAACCCTAGATGTTTTGTATATAAGAAACTGTAAACCCTAAATTTATTTTATTACATAAACCCTAAACCCTAAACCCTCGTTTTTTTCTCTGCTCCTCTCTAAACATACCCCACACCCCTAAACCCCAAACCCTAAACCCTAAACCCTAAACCCTAAACCCTCGAAATACCTGTGAGCAGCAGTATGCTGTTACTTGTTTATCTGTGTATACGTCAAACCCTAATTTTTTTTTTGATAGACGAGCCAAACCACCGACATCTGCGTAAACCCTAATATTTTCACATGTAGATAAAAACCCTACAGCCCCTGAAACACAAACCCTAAACCCTAAACCCTAAACCCTAAACCCTAAACCCTAAACCCTAAACCCTTGTTTTAGAAGCTTTGTGCAGGGAGAAACACCTACCGAGAAAAAAAGAAAAAATCAAACAGACATACACACTATGGATTAGGGTTTAGCTTCTAGGGTTTAGGGTTTAGGGTTTAGGGTTTAGGTTCTAGGGTTTAGGGTTTAGGGTTTAGGGTTTAGGTTCTAGGGTTTAGGGTTTAGGGTTTAGGGTTTAGGGTTTGGGGGCTTGCTCTCAAGGCGCTCGGCTTCCGCTGCTACACCCAATACCGCCAGCTGTCTCTCCATCTCTGCATCTCACAAACCCTAAACCCTAAACCCTAAACCCTAAACCCCAAACCCTAAACCCTAAACCCTAAACCCCAAACCCTAAAACCCTGTTCGTTCTAGCATCAAAGAGAGTTTCTCTGTTCAGGCTTACTTTAAACCCTCACTAAACCCTAAACCCTAAACCCCCAATAAACCCTAAACCCTTGCTAAACCCTAAACCCTAAACCCTCACTAAACCCTAAACCCTAAACCCTAAACCCTCAACTCACGCTGGGGATTATCTTTTTTGGGGCTCAGCGACAGCAGCACAAACAAATGTAAACCAGACGCTGCTGCTTCTGCCTATACAAGCACGCATGCAGCAGCAGCAGCAGCAGCAGCAGCAGCAGCAGGGATACATGCAGGAGCAGCAGCAGTAGCAGCAGCAACAACGAAAGCAGCAGCAGCAGCAACAAAAACAGCAACAGCAGCAGGAGCAGCAACATCAACAACAGCAACAGAAGCAGCAGCAGCAGCAGCAGCAAGACAGCAGCAGCAGCAGCAGCAGCATCAGCAACAAAACAGCAGCAACAGCAGCAACAAGAACAAAACCACCACCACCACCACCGCCACCACCACCACCACCACCACCACCACCAGCAACAACAGCAACAGCAGCAG